ACAACATAATTAGCAAGTGTGACCTAAGAGAGATATAGAGTTCTGCAAATATTTAGAGAACACACATTTTTCTCAAGGACATGGTGAACAATCAAGTACCAGATCACCAACATATTTTACAGAATAAGTATCAAAAGAGGAAGTATCACAGAAGGTGTGATTTTGACCTCAGTGTTGTTAGTTGGGCATTTATAACAAAAAAGACTTGAAAAACCTAGAATTGAATGATAATGCTGTGGTTCTCAAACTCTTGGCCTCAAAATCCCTTCTGAGAATCCTATTCTCAAAAATTATTGAAGAACCCCAAAAACTTTCATTATGTGCATTATATCTATTAATATTTACTGTACAGAAATTGAAACTGAGAAATTTGAAAAATATTAATTTTAAGTATGCCATTTAAAAATAATTTAAAAACCAGTGCATGTTATCATAACATACATTTGTAAAAATAACTACAGTTACACGAAAAATTAGTAAGAAGTGGCCATGTTTGTATATGTTTACAAATCTCCTCAACGTCTGACCTCACAGAAAACAGTGGGATTCTCGTGTCTTCAGCATTCGATCTGTTATGGTATCATGCAGCCTCTAGAACACCCCACTGTATAACTGTGAGAGGGTGAGAGTGAAATAAGCAAATAACATGCTATTATTATCAAAGCAGATTTTCCTTTGCAGACCTCTGAAAGGTCTTGGAGATCCTCAGGGTCTGGATCACATTTTTGAGAATTTCTGCAATAATGGAATAATATATATTAAAATTTGTAGGGTACAAAGTAAAAGTTGTGCTTTGAGGGAAATTTATAGGCTTAAATATTTATATTAAGAGAGAAAACAGTTAAGTATTCATCTTAAGAAATTAGAAAAGAACAACAGAACCCCAAAGAAAGCAGAAAGAAGACTTGAAGAAACAATATTGTAAATGAAAAGGGATCATAATTATAAAGATTAAAACGATATTAAGAAAGTATTAACAATTATCATAGATCAACAATTTTGAACATTTGGATGAAAGAGAAAAACTCCTAGGAAAATATAACTCACTAGAACTCAAGAAGAAATAAAAAGCTTCAAGAGTCCTATATAACTAAAGTCCTTTGTGTATGTGTGTGTGTGTTTATCTGTGTATGTATATACACATACACACATGCACAAACACACAGAGACACAAACTCCCACAAATAAATAAGAAAAGCACTGGTAACTCAATCAAAAAGCGGGAAAAAGAAATAACAGGAATTTCACAGAAGATGAAACACATGGCCAATAAACATATGAAGAGATATTTCACATAACTTTTTTTTTTTTTTTTTAAGGCAAGGCAACCCTTGGTTGATCTCACAGATTGCAAGGACCTTGTCAGCTTACAATCCCTTATTTTTTTTATTTTTTACGCCTACAGCACCTGGTCTTCCTAGATGGTCTTCCATCCAAGTACTAACCAGGCCCGACCGGGCTTAGCTTCTGAGATCAGATGGGTCACATAACTTGAAATCAAGAATGGCATATCAAGACCATTCCTTGATTTACCCCTCATGTGACTGGCAAAAATTAAATGGTTCTGAAGAAGATGGAGACCTACAGAATCTCTTGTACCTACTGGTGGGGTGTTAACTTGTGACCTACTTTGGAAAACATGTCATTGTCTCTTAAATGGAGGTGAATGATGACCCAGCAATTCCACTCTCAGGTGTATCCTAAGAAGAATTCTTACACATGTATAAGAAGGACTTATAAAAATGGTTCATAGCTGTACTGTTCATAACAAGAAAAACCATGGGAACAGCTGCAAAACACACTGACAGGAATGGACAAGTCAACTGGTAAGTTTATACGACGGGATATTATCAAACAGTCAAAGCAAATAAACTCCAGTGACAATGCGGGTGATTCTTAGTAATATAATGTCAGGTGACAAAACTCATTCCCAAAGACCACACACAGCACGATACACTTCTTATAAAGTTAAAAAACAACTAGAGTAACTAAGGAACGTGGGATTCAGAGTGATGGCTACCTGGGCTGGGGGAGGCGGGGACTGGGAGTAACCATCTGGATAGATGCAGGTCACTGTCAAGGTCCTAAGTTTTATGTGGGATGATGGTTTCTTAGATGCCTGGATCATGAATAAAAGCTATGCCGGAACAGAGGATGGGTCTTTTATGAACCAGGGATGACATAATCTAACCATGTGAACTTTAAGTAAGACGAAGAAATGAAAACCACGCTCCCACTCCACTGGGTTGTGTCTTTCACCTGACATGACATATTCCTTCCTCCTCAGAAGGCTAATTCTTTCTCACCCCCCACATCTGCACCAGGCCTCTCCTGCCCCTCCCGTGCCTCTCCTCCACCCTCCCTCCCTGCGTCTCTTGTGTTTTCCTGGCCCTGTGAACACCCAACTTCCATTAAGCCCTTCTCCGCACCACTGTCATCAGGAGTCTATGAGCCCGTCTCCCCCTGAAGGTGAATGTGTCCAGGACACAGGACAGAGGCTCTTTTTACGTGTCGCCTGGGCAGAGGGAGTTATCTGAAAGCACCAGTCCTCACCCTTAACCACCTTCTCTGTCAAATCTCAACCACCTTGCCAAACCTTGACATGTTTCAGGTCCCACTTCAAACTGACCCCTTTTTGAGAAGTCACAGTGAGTTCTTCTTCCCCTTAACTCTCTGTCCCCTCCCTGTTCATCCCTGTGGCCCGTGCCCAGATTTGGGCCTTCTCCTCTGTTGCCTGGACCAGTTGCCTACCGCCACTCTTTTTTCCACACTGATCGCCAGAGATCTTTCTGAAGTGTATTTCAGACTCATCTCTCTCTGACTGAAACCCTTCTATGGTTCCTCTCTGCCCTCAGGATTAGCCCAGACTGTTCGGCTCTTTACAATGGGAATGCTGGTGACTACCATGCCCCCACCCACTATACACCTGTGCTCTTGGAGCCACCAAACATGCTGTGTCTTCTCCTGCAACCCAAGGATCCACCTCACTTATGGAAAGCTCTGGGCCTCACAGACCAAGGCCAGGGAGCCATGCCCTGTCTAAGCTCCTACTGCAGAGTATGCTAATCGTAGACCATCCATCATCCAGACAGACAGCTGCTCATGTTCCTTAATCAGCCCCTCAGCACAGGGCCTTCCACACGGTAGGTGACTTCCGCTGGAAGGGAGAGGGCCTCCCGTATTCTCTACATTTTATGAGGAATCATCTCTTGAAACAGCTTTTGGATTGATGCTAATTTTTAAAGAGATTTTATTTTTTTCCTCTGACCTACTATATCAGCCTCCTGCCCGCCCTGACAGCATCTTAGAAGTCTCTGTGGTGGCACAGTGCCAGGCCTGTGGCCTTTGCTCATTAAAGACAAGCAGGCTGTCTGGGGCCTTCCAGAACCTACGGTGCTCCCTGGCCCTGGAGCCTCCACTCACCGTGTTGAAGTACTCGACGCCGGTGGCTTCAAATGCCCTCGCCACAGCTTGGGTTGTGGCCACGCAGGCTACGGGGTGGCCGTTGCCAATGGACTTGCCCATGGTGACAATGTCGGGGACAAAGTCTTTCCCCTGCAGCTGGAAGGCCCAGAAGTGCTTGCCTACTCGGCCAAAGCCCACTTGAATCTCGTCTGCGACAAAGACCCCTCCGGCCCTGCGGATGTACCTGTGGCAGAGGACAGATAGCTGATGGCGGGCTGTGGTGAGAGGGAGCAGAGCAGGAGCTGGGAGGTCTGGGAACTCTGAATCCTGGCTTGGTCAACGGTGAGGCAGGGCCTTAGGCAGATGGCTGGCTTTTGAGGAGCCACTATTTCTTCAGGGATTTGAAAAATCTGGCAAACAGGTGAGGCTGAGGTTGGAATTTGGAAGAAAGGTTTGGAAACCCCATCACAGCCCTGGCCTCCTTGGGGTGGCCCCTCCCACCTACTCACTCTGCCACTTCTGGGAAGAATCCAGCAGGGGGAATGACCTGCCCTCCCACGCTGGGCAGAGACTCGGCAAAGAACGCGGCAATCTGTGGACAAGATGGGACGTTGGGAACACTGCCGAGAGGTGCTGAGCGGCAAGCTAAGAGAATCCTGCTAATGCTGGCCCCAAGCAGGATGAGTGACTGCCATCGCTGCATCCCCCACTTTGGGGTCCACATCATATCTGAGGGTCTCTGACTCAGTTTTCTTTCAGGCCTCCAACCAGCTCTTACGACGTGTATGCTTCCAGACCCCTGTACTAAGCACATCCCAAATGAAATCCACTGGTGTCTCCTCCATTAGCCTGTTCCTTCCCTGCCGCTATGTGGTGACTCCCATCCCTCCCACCTAGGGCAGAAATCTGGCCCCACCCCTGGTCCAGCCCGCTTCTCCATCCATCAGGCAGCAAGGCCTGACCACCCTATGTCATCTCTGCACCCACTCCCTCCCCCTGATTTGGACACGTCTGCCTCCATGCACACCTGCCAGTTCCTGCCTTGGCCTCTTGTAGGCATCTTCAGACTGGCTGCCTCTTCCAGCGCACCCTCCACTGTCAGCAGGGACACCAAATCCAGACACTGAGCTTGTCACTGTCTCATTTAAAACCCTCGAATGGCCCCTTTTGCTTACAGAGGTGACTTCCAAACTGTGTTCTGCCTTGGAGCTCCTCAGAAGCTACTGCCAGGATGGGGGAAAGGCCAGCGGGGTGGAAAACTGGTTCCTACCCATTTTGCCACCAGAGCAACCTCTTCCGGTTTTACATTAGTGAGTGTAGAGCATCTGAAACACATAGGCCAGGCTTTCCAGATCTGGCTCTGCCAACCTTCCTGGCCTCGTTGCCTGCCTGTCTTTGCCGTATATCCTGTGTGTGGCTGTCGCTACTTCACTGAGGCCTCCCAGACAGCCCTCACACCAACTGCTAACCGCCGCCCGTCTGTCACCATGGCTACTGCTCTTCCAGAATGTGACGTATCGTTCCTGTCTCTGCTACACTGCTCCGGGTTGGGTCTCCTCCTTGCTCACTTGCCCTTGGGTTGGTTTCATTCAAGTGCACTCCTGGTCTTATTACCCTCCCTATTAGACCCCCCTGAAGGTTGGCCATGGCCTCTGGCATATGGTCTTCCCGCCTCTGCTGGCTCATCTCCTGCCCACTCAGCCTCGCCCCCTACTCTAGTGGCCCCTCACCTCCATGCAGGCTACTCCATTTAGGGTGCCTTTCCTCCTCTATGCCCCACCCCACCCTGAAGCTACTCCCACCCACATTATGTTACTACAACCAGGCAGCACCTGCTCCAAGGACCCTCCCCACACCCGCACCGGTCCAGCCTGGGCCTCGGGACTCTTGAGTGCCGAGGACACATCTCTAAACTCTGCTGAACACTTACCCCACTCTCACCCTAGATTCCCAAAGGTGGGCCCTGGTTCTGAGTCTCTCAGCGTTCTTAGTCTCTAGTACCAGCTGGCAACAGAGGAAGTGACGTTCACTGTTTGCTGGACCCGCACGGATGTGGTTACCTTCCTGCCCTGCTCCCGTGCACTGCTGACCACGCGTTTCAGCTCGCTGGCATAGGCCTCAGCCGGACTGGGGTGGTCCTCCCGGTAGGGGCCCCGGTAGGTGTCTGGGAGAGGCGCCTATAGGGAGTGACAGCGCCGTGTCATCCAGGCTGGGGGTGGCACCGACCTGTTGCCCCCTGGGCTGTGCATACCACATGGACCCACTCCTTCTGGCCATCCAGGTTCCGGAACTTGTAGGGGCTGATGTCGATCAGGGAGCTCAGGTGACCGTGATAAGCACTGAGGAGAAGAGACGGTGGGCCAAGGTTCAGGTGGCACGTGTCCTGGGCCTGGCCTTGACAACTGTCTACCCATCTCAGGAGACATGCAAGGAACACCAACCTTTCTGCTACAGCCCCCGAGTCCTCGGGCCGTGGAGTCAGCAAGACTTCCTATGAGGCCGTTCACTAGCTGTGTAATGGTGGCTGACTGTTAGCGCCCCTGAGGTCAGCCCCCTCCTCTGTGAAGTGGGGGCTTCTCCCCAGGGCGTAGTGAGTCTGCAGTGTGCTATGACTCTAGGCCTGGGCCTGGAGCAGCAGATCTCAGTAACGGGAGCTGCTGTTGGAAGTTTTGATTTCGCAAATGTGGGACCAACTCTCACTCCCTCCTAAAGCTTTCTCTGCTCCCCAGAAGCTGCCTTCCCGGAAGAGAGATCCCAGG